TTTCTCAATTATAAAATTCATGATCTAACTATACTATAATGTCTAAAGCAAGTTCTTATCTAATTATGTAAAATTTTTGGAATATTAACTAGAGTTTAAATATATGTCTATCTCAAGTGCAAATTAAATTAATTTTAATATTAGATGGCTTAATAAACGGTCTTATTGATATTCCTTTTTTTTTCAAAGGCAAATCCACACACACACTAAAGTTGGCTATATAATAGCATGAGAACAAAATAAATTATATTAAGTATTAAAACATCCATCAAAATTAATAACTAAAATGAAATCTATTAAAAAAGTACTACCTTATTTGGTACAGGGTAATAAAATGAAAATGAGAGCTGAAATGACCCATTACTTTGTTTGGTGCATGTGAATGATCATTTCAATTGAATAGCCCATTACCTCATTTGAGGTAATCACCATTCCATCACCAGACCACAGGAATGGATCCCATGGAAATGGAATTTTCGGTGGCCAAATTGTCCATTGATTTTTTTTTTTTTTCAAAATTCCTATTTTGTCCCAAGCACTAATCCCATTTCCTCTCCCTCGTCATCTGCCACTGATCTCTCTCATCATCTCTCTATCACCCAGCTTCTCAGTCTTCGTTGCTTCAATGCCCAGTCAGTTATCTCCATTGTCGATCAGATGTGGTGACCAATCTCCCTCACCATCATTGAGTTTCTAGGTTCATTGCCGATCGATTGGAGCTATTGCATGCTCCTCTTTCATCGATCTCATTAATCGAAGCTTCATATATTGCCGATCAAATAAACCTGATGACAACAGTGAGAATGATAGGGAGGCATTCCAAATTTGGTTCGAGATTAAGAATGACGAGAGGGAGGTGTTCCAAATATGGTTCAAGATTGATGAAATCTAATTCTAAAGCGAGAACGACGGCAAGCCAAATCTAGTTCCATGAGTTTGAGCAACAAGCCAAATCTTTCTTTGATTCTCTTTTTATTTCTCTGAACTTGAAGAATATAAGTAGTGTGCAAATTGAACTTCCATCAGCCATGGATGAATGAAACAAGCCAAGTCTTTTATCTTTGATTTTTTTTTTTTCCAGTTTCTTTTTTATTCTTTGATTTTTTTCCCCCTTTTTGGCATGTAAGGAAGGTATACGAGCTCTCATATTCGATTAGTAGCAAATGGCATTCTTTTGTTTTTGTTCTTGCTTTTTAAAATTTTTTGTTGGTAAGGGTAGTCTACTCATTTAACATTATAATTGCATATGTCAAATAAAAATTATATTCTATTCCTACCAAACATGTTTTTAAACCTCATTATTATTCTTATTATCATTTCCATTCACATTCTATCAACAATCATTTTACACTGTAATAAATGGGGTCTAAAGGTTCATGAAATTTTTAAGAAAAAAAAGTTAGCTACTCATAACTTTGAATATGCATAAAAGTTTAAAAACAACACATAGAATAAAAAAATTGAGAGCTGCAGAAGAAGAGAATCCAAAAAAAATCTCCTCAAAAAGCTCTATGATGACTCTTCAATCTTCAATTTAGCTCTGAAGCCCTTGGTTGATGCTCAAATATTGTCTCCTCACTTTCAAATATAAAATTGGATGATTTGAAAGTCTAAGGGTGGTTTATTTATAACTTTTCCATGCTCATTTGTCTTTCAATTTATGTTTTATCTTATATGATTTGCAGGACCATGTCAAGGAATTTTGAGGCCTAAGATGAAATGAGTATAGGGGCCTAACATATAATAATTTGACATTTTTTACCATTAGAGATAGTAAAAAAAAATTAAACACTTGGTATTTTGTATCTTAAAAATAAAGCTTAGATTAAAAGGGAACAAACACACTTGATAGCAAGTAGTACAGGTACGAAAACATAGATCCCCTACTCAATGGTGCATGCTCCAATGCTTTGTTTAGATACAAAATTATAAAAATTATTTGCCCTCACGGTTTCAACTCACTAGACTCCTCAATTCACATTTTATAGGATTGTAAAGAAGCATAAAAAATTTAGATGAAATTAGTTAAGTCTTCTAAATTTAATATTTTCTTTTATCTTTTTGCCTAGCAGTCGATAACTTAGAATGCAAAGAACAATGTTGGATGTTCAAACTCAAGAAGTGCTTCTTGGCAAAAACTTTTCACTCTAATATACTAGAACATCTAAAAGGTAAGATACAAGGACATTTATTTGGAAGATGACACACTAGACAAGGATATTGCATTTATTAGAAAATAACCAATGATATCGACCTTCAATCTAAGATCAATTGCTTATCTAAGAAAGTTGTTAGACATAAAGTAAAATTGGAGCCCTCCTGAAATAGATTGAGCAAGATGGATCAGTTAACATAAATGGAGTTGTGGCTTGTGAAGGCTTGATTCGTGATACCCATAAAAATTGAATTAAGGAATTTTTCAAATATATTGATTATCACCCAATCACGATTGCTGAACTATTAAGCATTTTGGAAGGAATCAAGCTTTGTTAGGATACTAAACTAACCAAAGTGAACTTCTACTCAGATTCTTTATCAGCTGTATTCTTGATTCAATACAATTTCTTTAAGAATTATCTTTATTCAAATTATATCAAGAAAATTAAGGATTTTACTATGAGAGATTGAACAATTACATTCAACCACGTGTCAAGGGAAGCAAACAGATGTATCGATCTTCTTACTCACCAAGCATCCAATGATAATTTTGAGTTAAAATCTTTCATGAACCACTTTTTAGGTGTAAAAATATCATGTATTTTTGTATGATTGAATAGTTTTTTTCCCTTCTTGAACAGGTTCCTTGTGGCCATGTATTAAAAAAATTATAAAAATGATTGCAGGCATCTAATGACCGATTATTTCATTAAGTTTTAAAACAAAAACAATAAATGGGGGAAAAGTGGAAGAGTGAAGATGAAAAATGAGAGAGTTAGAAATGGTGATGAAAGAATCGGAATTGTAAAAAGAAATTAAATAAAATAGCTAGGTTGAGATCAACCCAATGATTAAACATTATTTTAAAAGTGTGAAAAGGTTTTCAACACGAGAAAGAACCGGGGCTTTACTTGTTTTTCATTGAGCATTTATTATACAATGGTACGAACACATCTATTCAGTCTATATATACTAAGGTCCCGTTTGGTAGTTTGAAATCATAGAGAAAGAAATGGAATTGGACATGGAATCTGTTAACATGTGTGTTTGGTATGCAATAATTATGATTTTTTGGAATCAGAATTCAAGGAAATTTGATGGAATCCAATTCCATCATATGCATCATGGAATCCAATTCCATGGTTCCTTTTCTCCAATTTGCCCCTTCTCTCTCCTCCAATATAATTTTTTTTAATTTTAAAAAGGACACTTTAGTCTTTTCTTATTTTAAATACTTATATTTTATTAAAATTATATCAGGATTCCATCATTATACCAAACACACTTTTAAATCCAATTCTATTCCAATTCCAATTTCAATTCCGATTCCGATTTCGATTCCGATTCCATTAAAAACTCTTCCATCATACCAAACATGGCCTAAGGGTATTCGGGGCTTGTATTTGAGGTCCTAGGCAATTGATTTACTTGCCCATGGGCTCTCATAGCCCTGGACTCGATAACTCTAATTTTTACAGCTAAGTTTGCTTCTTTGAAATTCTGGGCAGCATTCGATTTTAAAGAAGTACACGAGGATGTGAATTGTAGCATCCAGCAGCTGCAAACATGGAAGTTTCCTCCTGTAAGATGGTCAAAAGTCAACATTAATGATCCTCAATTAACTTCACTGATTTCTGTGAGTGAAACTTGCATGGCATAGTTATTGAGGGCTATAAACGGATAAAAAATAATTTCATGCATTTAGATTGATGACTTAAAATTGTAGACCACGACAATTCACAAACCTCTTCCAATTGTTATTGGAGATCAGAGAGAGTTTGGACACTCTTGGATTATTCTCTTTTTAAATCTATGATTTATATTCACTTTGTGAATTAAGGGCATCCTAAACCAAATTCAAAGACTATTGTTAGTAATTGCAAATATGGCGCAACGACTTCTACAATTTGGAGGAATTGCGAAACTTCCTCCAGGGAAAAAGTAATACGGGTAGCTGTAAATAGAGAGGATAATGATTGGGAAATTTTTAAGAAAGCCAATACTGAAGGTACTGAATTTGAAAATTTAAGAAATTTTTAAGAAATTTAAACGGCTTAAATTGTTAAAATTTAATATTATACAAGAAAAAAACTTTATATACTTAATTTTATATATTTAATGTAGTTGTTTTCAATTAAATCAAAATATTTTATTTTTTATAAATTATTTATTTTATAATAAATTATTTTGTTTAATATATTAAGATCCATTTGTCATGATATAATGTGATATAAATATATTAAATATGTAAAATTAAGTACACAAGTCTTATCTTATTTTTTTATTGACATAAAACGTAAAATTTTTTTACATGAAATTTATTTTTAATATAAATATAAAAATTAGATTTATTTTATTCTTTTAATATTTTAGTTTAATTAAGCATTAGAGAGTCTTAAATAAGACACTTTTAACTATTTTATTAAAATTTAAAAGAGGTGATTAAATTATTATTTTTGTTCGAATATAAAATAAACTTTTAATCTGTTTTTTCATACATCAATAAACTTTCAATCTCATACTTATTTAAATAAAAATTTTTAAATTCATATCATATTTTTCACTCATAATTAATAAATTTAAATAAAAATAATATTAAAAATATAATTAATATTTTATTGAGTGTTTTATATGAATAAATTTTTTTTAAAAAAAATGACTTTTCATAAACATAAAATGAAAGCCATTAATGGGGCAAAAGAAAATTTTAAAAAAGGAAAAAGACAAGTAGCTCCCCACTCCTCTGAAGGCGGTTCTTGGCTTTCGGAGTGTGTGAGTCGCCAGTCGCCACTATAAATACGAATATGAAAGAATAACGAACTTCTCTCATGCGCCTCATATCAATGGCGACGAACGCAAGTAACCACTTGGACTGCAATGAGCCAGAATTCGCGAGCCGTCGTTCTTGGTATTCACCAGAAACAGGAATTTACACCAGCAAACACGCTCCGGTGGAGCTTCCTTCAGACCCATTTCTTGATGTTGTTTCTTATATTTTTTCTTACCAACACAATGGGGATTTAGCTCTCAAAGACTCTTCATCTGGATTTTCAATTTCCTACTCGGAACTGTTTCCTTTGGTGAAATCCATGGCATCTGGTCTCCGCAAAATGGGCGTTTCACAAGGTGATGTTGTTCTACTCTTAATTCCTAATTCCGTTTACTATCCCATTGTTTTCTTGGGTGTGTTGTATCTTGGCGCAATTGTCACACCGTTGAATCCACTGAGTCACATCTCGGAAATCCGTAAGCAAGTTGCTGAATGTGGTGTGAGTCTGGCTTTTACTTTACAGGAAAAAATTCGAAAGCTACAATCATTGGGCATTCCACTTATTGGGGTTCCCGAAAATATGAAGGAGTTGAAATGCTCTGATTTCTCAGTTTTTTATAACCTTGTTTCTGGTAGCTCGGATTTGTTTCCAAGGCCGGTAATTAAACAAGAAGACAGGGCAGCTATAATATATTCTTCCGGGACGACAGGTGTCAGCAAAGGTGTTGTTCTAACGCATAGGAATTTTATTTCCATGGTCAAGCTTTTCGTGAGGTTTGAAGCTTCTCAATATGAATATTCAAGCTCGAAGAATGTGTTTCTAGCTGTTCTGCCAATGTTCCATATATATGGCTTATCACTCTTTGCAACAGGATTACTGTCTCTGGGCTCTATGGTTGTTGTAATGAGAACATATAACACTAATGAGGTGATTAAGGTGATTGATAAATACAGAGTCACACACTTCCCCGTTGTTCCACCAATATTGACGGCGTTGACAAAAGGGGTAAATGGTATGAATAGGAGCTACCTGCAAAGTTTGATCCAGGTCTCCTGTGGGGCAGCACCTTTGAGTATAAAAACTATAGAGGACTTCATCCACACTCTCCCTAACGTTGACTTCATACAGGTAACGAACTTTGAACTGAGCAGGCTTACTAGGATAATGTGCACCATCACCCATCAAATTGCCTGAGTCACTTCTTATTTCATTCATCACTGATGGTTTTTGGTGGACTTCTTTCTTTTGGGTGGAACTTACAGATGATTTTTGTTTATTATTCAAATGCTACTTTCATCCTGTCTAATAATGAGACTTTGTCGGAAGTGAAAGGGAGTTCTAGAATATATTGTTTTGCTAACATTCTCATGAAATTATACTGTTTGCTTGACCCAAAGTGCATTAGGACATGTCTGATAAGGAAATGTTGTATGTATTTCTATTTCCTCACCCCCTCTCTGCTTTTCATCATTCCAATTCTGGCGGCAAAAGATATAGATTATTGTGCCATTGTTAACACTGTCAAGTGGAATGATTGGATCACCATTGATGAACTTTGACAGTTTAGTTGGCATTTTAATGTTGGTTTCCTTGAATTTCAAGTGTATTCAGCAGAAATGTTGCTTCCTTTTAGGGTTATGGAATGACTGAGTCAACTGCAGTAGGAACACGTGGCTTCAATACTGAAAAGTTTCGAAATTATTCTTCTATAGGGTTGTTAGCTCCCAACATGGAAGCAAAAGTGGTTGACTGGAATACTGGTGCTTTTTTGCCTCCAGGCAGTAGTGGTGAGCTTTGGTTGAGAGGCCCTTCAATTATGAGAGGTGAAAATATAGTTTCTTCCCTGAATATATATATATATATATATAATGAGAAGTACTTACTTGATTCGTTCATTAAATTTTTATATTTTAGCCTTGCTCGTTGAGGTATTTCATGTTACTTTGTTAAACATCTAATTGCAATAAAATGAATGCTTGAGATGTCATGTCATATCTTGACATTCCCTGTACAATTAAGTGAAAACTGGCTGATAATCTCTATATGAGTTTAATATTATTCCACGGAGTATTATAGTTGATTTTTCTTTGACAGTGTTCCTAGCTCTACATATATGAATTTTGTATCACTTTGTTCCGACTATCACATGTCACTTCTATTGAAAACTAAAAGTTACTTGCCAAACAATTAATTGCATGCTACAATAAGTCTCATTTAGCATAAGGAAAATTGAAAGTAAAATTTATCTTCAAGGGAGCTATTAGATTCTGTTATAATGATTTGTTACTGTCATTTTGTTATAGGAGAATATATTTCCTCTAGTATTCTTAATGAAATAGGCAATTATGATTGTTTATAAATGTACACGTTTTTGGTTATTCTGGCTGAAATAATTTTCTTGATTAACTCTGCAGGATACTTGAATAATGATGAAGCGACAATGTCAACAGTTGATAAAAATGGTTGGCTACACACTGGTGATGTTGTTTGGTTTGATCAAGATGGATATTTACATTTGTCTGACCGATTGAAAGATATTATCAAATACAAGGGCTATCAGGTATCTAATTTTGAAGTCCAAGTAAACAAAATTTTTGGCTAGAATGCTAGATCACATACACATGTGTATATGAATAGAACAAAATAAAGTTAGAGAATAGAGAACAATCACGTTAGGATGTAAGATGTGTTAGATGATACCAATTGGCTTTCAATATCGGTGGATTATCCGTTCTCAGGCGAGTTGATTGATATATGCCGAATGAAAAAGGTTGATGAAGCTGTCACTATTTCTTTACTTTGGAGTTAAATGTGTGTTCCCCCCCCTTTTGGTGGATGGAGTTAGATATTTTTGTTCCATTTTAGACATCAACATAAACTCAATTTCACCCAACTTAAGTAACATTGATTTTTGTAGATAGGAAAATATATCTGAAAGATACAAAATGAACTTCACTAAATTGTAGGTTTTCTCGGAAAAAATTCTCTAAGATGATGCAACTTGAAGGCTTTGTAACTTTTAGAAAGCTATTGGACCCCTCGTTGTTAAAGGATTACTTTCTAAGATGCAGGGTATCATTTTCCCGCTATGTTTATCCTATAGCATGATCCTCAATCATAGATATATGTTCTTAAATCATTTTAGTCAATTTTATATTTGTTATATGTAGTTTCTTATATGGCATACAATCATTTGTAACAGATTGCTCCAGCTGATTTAGAGACTGTGCTTCTTTTGCATCCTGAGATAGCCGATGTAGCAGTTGCAGGGTAAGCGGGAACACTTGATTTATGCTGAACGAACTCTTCCTTTAATCAATTAAAAAACCCCTTTCTTTTGAATTCATTTGTCAGTAATACAACAGTATCCTATTCTTGTAACGCCAGAATTTATCATTGATAATGGATTGACCTTGATGAGAGAGAACCGATTTTCAACCTCCTTGTTGCATAGGTTATTTGTCCTATAAGCAGCAAAAATGTCTGTATATGTGTACACTCCACTCAGGTTATCAATACTTTTTAAAGTTGCCTTTGACCCTTGAATTTGAAACTTAACATGAAGTGTTGTTTCATCATCCTTTTTAGTGTCAATGATGAAGAAACTGGGGAGATGCCAGTGGCATTTGTGGTCAAGAAAGTTGGAAGTGCCCTCTCTCAGAAAGCTATCCTGGACTATGTTGCTCACCAGGTTCTTCGTGATAAAGCTAGCCGCCCATCAATTTTCAATTCACATTTACAACTTAAGCTAATGCTTTGGTGTGCATGAAAGGACTTTTCACAATATCTTAAATTTTCTCTACCTCTTTTTTTGCAAGGTTGCTCCATACAAGAAGGTGAGGAAAGTGGTGTTCACTGACTCAATACCAAGGTCAGCTGCTGGGAAGATTCTCAGAAGGCAACTGAGGAATTGCTTGACTTCTAAACTCTGAGATGTCTTTCTCGGATTCCTTCCGTGCTTAAAAGACTACCCGGCAAAAATATTTCTGAACAGAACTTCATCAAGGCACATAACACATTTTTTCTTAAAATAATCTTCCACAGACTTTTGCCCTGCATGAGTATTGTGCTGAGATGTGGCCCCGGATTACACGCCACTAACTTGTTCATCTTCATCGTTGATTATGAAATAGAGTTGTCCATTTTGTTTGTTTATTTTCTTCAATTAAGAGTAATAACATCGACGTTGTTCTATTACTACTAAAATTTATTAGACTTTATAACAAAGTGCAATTTAATTATTTATTTATTTTTTAAAAAAGTCTTTCATTTCTGCTCAATGCTACATGTTTGACCGAACACGAAAGATTTCGGTCAATTCTTCTTTGCACTGATATATAATAACTGATATTTAAAATTTCAACCCCAATCTCATCCTGTTCGAGTGACCTCCTTTTTCGTCCTTTCAAATTCTTTTGGGACCCCACCTAATTTCTATGGTGAACATGTTTTCTCCTCTGGAGTATCCAGTACCATACCTCTCTCGCCGTTCCCATGGCGACCTCTGTGGCCATATCCCACAATTTATCTCTTTCTGTCATCAACCCTCGTCATCCAAAATATCCCGTTAAGTCATCAATAGTTGCTCTCAAGGGCGTTCGAAGCTTACAGAAGCATTCCATTTTGCAAAGCCCAGTTATACCCATCGGAGGTTCTGGATTCAATTCCAAGTTTTTGTATACGGGGCCTCAAGAGAATTGCAGAAGTCGCGAGCTTTTGACGAAATCAGCTGAAACTGACAGTGGAAAAACTTCCTCAATTGGCCAAAATGTGCGACTCTGTTTCGATGTGTAATTGGGTTTATGCAGGTTAAAGAGCGTTTCTTATTTTGTTTGCTTCAATGTACTCCAGGTGTTTGGGCTACTGCATTTGATTGTCTCGTTGGGGCTTGTTCTTGCGATGGACAAATATCTTAAGAAAGCCTTTGTGGCTGCTGCGATTAAATTCCCCAGTGCACTGTTTGGGATGTTTTGTATATTCTCCGTTTTGATTATTCTTGATTCCACTGTGCCATCTGCAGCCACAGCCTTGATGAACTTCTTCGAACCGGCGCTTTTGTTCATTCAGAGATGGCTCCCTTTGTTCTATGTTCCATCTCTGGTTATCTTGCCCCTTTCTGTTAAAGATATTCCAGCTGCTTCGGGCATCAAGATTAGCCTTATTGTAGGTAGGTGCATATTCAGTCTAATTCTTTAACTAGTCCTTCTAGTTTCTTTTATTGTCTATGGAATCTTCGTCTTTCCTTTAACTATATGTAGCTGGAAAAGATACTGCTATGAACTGATTGACCTGCAAGAGTTAGATTCCTCACTTACTTCGCTTTTTTCTGCTGTTTTCAATACTTGAATCAATTTATCTTATGGTCCTCCAACACAAATATGCTTTGTCTCAATCTGGTCCCTGATAAATCAGGAGTTCGCTTCCCTCCATTGCAATAGTGGAGGAAAGACTACAAATCTGAACCGTTAAATTGAATTAGATAATTTGGATTTGATAATTTTAAAAGTATAAATTAATCTATATCGTTAAAATTTAATCTGAATGGTTTAGATTTGCAGCGGAGGGAAAACATAGTAGAGAGAAACCAACTCTCATTTAGTCCTCCAAAGATTGCTTCTAGTCTAAAATAATCTTCATGTGAAGCTGACTAGCGTATGTTGATGGAGTGAGTAATGTGGAAGCCGTCAAAATTGTGCAAGCATTTCCAAACTTTATGTTCAAGTCCAAGTTTATAAAACACATCATTTTGATGGCTGCGTTAACACTTTTATGGGTTTAACATGACAACTTTTTTATAACAAACATTCTTTGAAGGACTAGAATGGGACATTAAATTTTTTATGGACTAAATTTAGACAACATTGATCTTTGAAGGACTAAAATATCAGTTCACTCATACTTGAATCACTCCTTATTTGGTTTTTCTTTTCCTGATCTGCCATGTGTGATGTGCCTATGGTTGTGTCAAGCTATTATACTTTCATTCCAATGCCATACTGATGTATGTCTATGTTATGCAGTTGGAGGTTGGCTAGCTACACTTTTGGTTGCTGGTTTCACAGCTATAGCAGTGAGAAAAGCTGTGAAGACAGAAATGATAGACGCTGAGCCTATGAAGAAACCCTCTCCATTTTCTCCCCTTGAAGTGTGGGCTTGGACCGGGGTTCTCCTTGTATCATTTGTTGGTGCATTGTTTTATCCCACTGTACTGGGGACAAATGCCAGAACTTGCCTTCCTTTCTTACTTGCATCCACAGTGTTAGGTTACATGGTTGGTTCTGGGTAAAAATTTTCGTTCGCTTGCGTATTTACATATTTTGTTCCTATAGGACATTACTATGACACTGAATTGTAGTTTGGAAATTATGCTTCTTACCAGAAATCATCCTTTCTTTCATTATGTTTTTTCCAGGTTGCCATCAAATCTGAAGAGCGTATTACATCCAATTATTTGCTGTGCGCTTTCGGCTGATCTGACTGCATTGGCTTTTGGATATGTTTCGAAGTTAGGATTTGAGCCTGTTCTAGGTATTGAATGTTAACCGTTCACTCACTATATTATTAAAAGATGTTTGAATTCAAAATGATTAGTGGAAACACACCTGCTCTCCTGCATATACCTTATGATTTTTTATAATAATTTATAGTTTATTGCCAAGTTGAATGGTGAATCGTTCATTAAAAAAATAAAATAAAAAAAATCACATCGATTAGATTTTCAAACAAAATCTGTCAATGGGTGACCTTGAGCTAGACACAACTGATTTTGTTTAAGCTTAGAGTAATGCAAATTTATAGAAGATAGTGTATAATCACCTAAATTTGTGCTGGATTTTGAAAATCCCATGCCTGCAATGTGTGGATATGAGGCTGGCTCTCAAATTAAGGCTCATTGTGTGTGTTTGGTTTTTAGTTTCTCTTAAGTCCATTTGCTAAAAGTTCATTTGGTAAAAATTAGTTTAGTGAAAGTCAGTTATTATATTTGTGCTTAGATACATGTTTTTAAATATCGATTTGTTAAATTGAAAGTTTTTGGATTAATGATGATTTGTGCTTTTAAATATGCAATGATAAAAAAAGACATTGATTTATGATAATTTTTAATTTTTTTATACAAATGTAATAGATTAAAAAATTTTAAAATGTGAAAAAATGTGAACATAAAATTTAATATGTTAAATAATAAGAATAAAAAGTATAAAGTTTGACATATTGAACAAAAATTATATAAGTAATTCAATAACACTAATATTAAAAATTAACATGATTAATTGTTTAGTTTGTATAATGTCTTGTTACTATATTTTTCAAAAAAATTTGTCGGGAACCAAACTTTTGTTAATTTAATCTTTCAAAAACTTGCGTGCAATTTCTTTTTGTATAAAAATCATGATTATTATGGTCATATAAAAAATAAGGGGAGGCTTGAGGAAAAGGATTTTCAAGAGTCTTTTGAAAGGGCTTTTGAAATGGACTTTGAAAAAAAAAATAAAAAAACCAAACAACTTTGACTTTTTAAAGTTTCCAAAAAGCCTTCTCAAATGTCAAAAATTAAATACCCAAGCAGGCCCTGAGATGGCATGTTGTTGGAGCCTTGGGATCACATAGAGTCAAGAAACTCAAGGCAATAGATCTTATTGCTATGCTTGCGTGGCTAATTTAGTTAAGTGTTCCTCTTTACATGAGATCTGAGGAGGCATCATTTCCCAGAAAGTACCTTTTCAACGAGGCTGAAATGAGACTATTGGGATTTGAGGGTGGAGGAAGAGAGGGGCTTAACTGAAAAAGAAACTTTTATTACTCATTCAAACTAAAATATATACAAACACTCATTACTTTTCTCATAATTCTCCCTCGCTCTTTCTTACCTTCTTTCTCACACTCACACCCCTTTCTTCTCTCACTCACATCACTTCACTCACTTGTCTTTCTTTCTCTCTTCTCTTGCTAGCTTCACTCTCTGCTCTTTCTCTTTGCCACACTCAACCCATCAGCCAAGTACTCCTATTTATATATTACATAGGTTGGTGATTGTTTTTGTCCAGTGGGTTCTAGAAAATTTCTTCACTGCCATTGATTGTTTCTCCATTAATCTAGAAAATTATAGAGGGAGAGAGAGAGTTTATCGGTGATATTTTAACAGATGCGGACAGGATTTGAGTAATTAAAGCTGTATTGTTTCGTAAGCATATATAAATTACGAGGATATATGTCTTGTACCTGGACGTTCTTAATGAGAAAGGGTTTGGGTGAGAAATCATCAGAGTGACTGATCATATGTGGAGTTTTTTTTTTTTTTTTCCCTCCCCCTGATTAATGCCATTTTAGCATAGTATATATATTATTTTGCTTTGTGACTCTTCTCCCAACACACACAGGATATTACCTGACAAAGGCATCCTCTAACCCTGGAGCTGGTGACATTTTAATGGGATTTTTGGGATCTGTCATTCTTTCTTTTGCCTTCTCTATGTTCAAACAAAGAAAGGTAACCATCTAGTTTCGGAATGAAATAAATGCAATAATACAGCGATGAAATGAAGTAAAAAAAATCGCTTCTCTCCTTAGCATGGCCAAGCTATCCTGTTGATTGGTCTACTATTTCCAGCTTGTAAAGAGGCATGCAGCTGAGATTTTCACCTCTGTCATAGTCTCAACAGTATTCTCATTGTACTCAACTGCTCTGGTTGGACGTCTAGTAGGATTAGAACAGTCTTTAACCGTTTCCATTCTTCCCAGATGTATAACTGTTGCATTGGCCCTCAGCATTGTGTCTTTATTTGAAGGTACATATTGTGTCTACCCTGAAACCATATCTTGATGATCATTGTACTTTGAGATTCTATACTTGAAATGCTCACATTGTTTGCAGGTACCAATTCATCTCTCACTGCAGCTGTGGTTGTAGTAACTGGTCTGGTTGGAGCAAATTTTGTGCAAGCAACACTTGATAAATTCCGTTTTCGCGATCCAATCGCTCGAGGAATTGCAACTGCATCTAGGTATTTTCATAACATCTCTTCTACCAATTCATAAACTGAGGTCATCAACGCTTCTCCTTCCTAAATTTACCCAGTGTTTTAATCTAACTGATTACTAGTGGTTGCACGTATAGAGATAGTAATAAAACTCAGGTTTTCATGAAGGTCACGACATGCTGAAGAGAACTGGGTTATGGAAGAGAAACTAAATTATAATGACATGAAATTTTATTAAAATTACGAAGGCATCCATTTTATTGTCAAAACCAACACAAACCTCTTTTAAATTTTATTACACTCGCCTTCTATTTAAGAAAATCAAAGACTTCCTCTGATACAAACCTCTTGAATGATCCGTAACAGTGCTCACGGACTTGGAACAGCAGCACTGTCTGCGAAGGAACCTGAAGCTCTGCCATTTTGTGCCATTGCTTATGGTCTGAATGGTATCTTTGGATCTATTCTTTGCTCCATTCCTGCTGTTAGACAAAGCTTGCTTGCTGTTGTTGGCTGAATCCGAGGGCTCAGTCACCTGGGGACATTCTCAGATATCACTGCCCTAATCTGTAGAGCCATCCTATTTTAAGAACCTCTAGTATCACGCTCTCTTAAAACATTGCATTCATTTGTGTAATATACTGTGCGAACAGTTTCTTATTTTCATGCTATTTTTCCCCTCATATTGATCTTAGACCAGGTTTACATTGAAAATGATGATGATGATAAATAAACAAAGCTAATGAAAGAACTTGTTAACTTTCCATTGAGAAATATATTAACATACTACTTATCATCCCCGGCCCTGTCCTCTAATTTTTACGCGAGTGCATTCCTGCTCATTAGCATTGATGAGCACGCAAGGGCTCTGAGCCCTTGATTTTATCGTCAGTTGATCTCTACCATTTATTTTAAATTTATTATTTAATATTTTTAATATTATATACCAAAATGAAATTTATAAAAAAAAAATATGAAAATCTTAATATTAAATTTATACTGTTTGATTATATTTAGGTAGTTAATTTATAAAAATTTTAATATTAAACTAGATTGATCAGGTTATATTTATACTGTCCAGGTATATTTGAATAATTAATTTAAAAGTGTAAAAAAAATGTAATATTAAATTAGATAGTCTAAATTAAATCTACATTGGCTTGATTAATTATAAATAAATTTATTAAAAAAATTGGTAATTTTTATTTGATAAATAGAAAATAAAATAAAATGTTTTAATCTAAATGGCTTAGATCTCATTAACTGAAATGAGTAGCATGATACTCATCTCCTACTGAGTCCAAAAGACAATCTATAATTAATATTAAGATTTTCATATTTTTTATAATTTTTTATTTTATAATATAATATTAAAAATTAAGAAAATAAATTAAAATGAATGACAGATATCACATGATCTTAAAATTAAGGGGTCATCCCTTGAGATTATGAGCATTTCATGCTCATAATTTTAACAATATTTTGGTGAGAGGACTGTTTTCACCCAGTCTTTTTCATGCTTATTAAGGGGGCATTAAATCTTGGACAAGTTTAAAATGGCATTATTGCATTTTGATTGTGCGAATTGCTAAATGGAGGGAATTTTATTCATTATATGGATTAATTTTTTGGCCAAAAATTAATTAGTTATTAATTAGACATTTTCCCATATGAAATTTAAATTAAATTATATAAAAAAATAAAATAATGTTCTATAACTTTTATTTTTATATTAATTAAATTAACCATATAAAGATATAAACTAGGCTTTGTAACCATCTACAGGTGGTTTTTCCATTTGGTAATGGTCTAATAAATTTTTTAGTATATCAGTAGAGTTTGAATCTCCACTAAAAAGAATCTACACTTACATTAGGTTCGAATCATTACACCTATGATCCATCCAATTACCAATTTTAATTTATTTTTGGAATAAGTTTTATGGTACAAGAGCAACTATTAACGATACAAATGCAATGTCAACCCTTTATCAAAAATTCTCCCTATCACCTCCATTGATGAGCAAAAACATGGATTATTTAATAAGAATAATGTTAAAATTTTATTAAATTTTTATATAGAGTTAATGAATTTAAATTTTTTTTTTAACTCTCATGAAATATATTGCAAGTGATTTATAATAAAACTTAAAAGTATAACATATATAAGATAAAAAGGAGAGAGAATGTAAGAGGCAAGAGCGGAAGAAGAGCATGGTACAATAGGATTAAGCTCCCTATTTTTTATAGAAGGATTAAGCTCCCTAAGACTCGTGAGTTTGCTTTTGCATAATAAAAAGGAATGGGTAACAAATTAACTTTTGCACAGATTCTTGGTATTGGACTCACAGGAGACCTTAGTAAGCATCTCTGGTGTGCCTTTGTTCCATTCCTGGGTTAACAAATTAACTTTGCACCGATTCTATAGAAGGTACAATAAAGGCTCTCTTCTTGGTAAGGAAAATTCCTAAATATGGCAGGCTAATCAGTTCTAATCATATCTGTCTTATCAGCTTTTTCTTGATATTATATGCAAACTCTTTTCTTCCTAAGGGCATTATCAATGAAATTAAGGGCTATAGCAAGAGGTTTCTATGCTCTAGAAATTGAAGAAACTCAAGATACATCTTATTTCCTGAAAAAAACCCAAGAAAGCAAGCAATATGGAGGTATGGGATTTAAAGATTTATATAGTCAGAACATTGTGTTTATTATGAAGCTTTTGTTAGAGTCTACTCACCCAATCTAATGTCCTATAGGTCAAGTGCTTACAAGTAAAATATAGATGTGGGTATCATCACGTCCTATCAATTCGTAAGAAGCATTCACACAGTTGTTTGGGACCTTTTTTGTGTTGGGGATTGGTAGGAAACTGGGCAACGGGCTTGATATGAAGTGCTAGTGGGATTTATGGTCTCCACTTGATAAGGCTCTCTTGACCCTAGTTGACAAAAATCTTCATCTCCTCAATCCTACTACCATTGTTAAGGATGTTGTCAAATTAGATGGTTCTTAAGATATCAATCTTGGAGAGCTTTCTTACCAGATTTGGTGGTTGCCAAAACCTGTCGTATGACTCCACCTAACTCTTACAATATTGATTCCTTTTGTTAGAGGGTGTCTTTTGATTGCAGGTTTAATGTCAAATTTGCATATAATTTGTTTTTCATAATAGAACAACTCCTTCAAACCCTCTATGGAAGAAGTGTTTTGAAATGGCCGATGTCGAAAAAAATGCATTTCTTTCTTTGACAAGCTCTTTATGAGAAAATTTTAATTAACTCACTAAGAGCTAACTTGGGACTCTCCCCCACTAGGAATTGTCCTTTTAAGTGTGAGAGAAAGGAGAGTGTCATACACATTATATATGATTGTCTCATTGCTCATGAATTTTGGCAAAATCTCATTTCTCCTAACTTTTATTCTAGTTTCTTTT